TTTTAATTTCTATCCTCAGCGGGAGTTTGCCAGCTCTTTACGTTTTTATTTCGCGTCACTTCTCGTTGGCTAACTTTCTCGATATAAAAATGACAAGTGAAACGCCAAGAACGTTTTAAGTGCCCACTCTTATTTTTCTTATTAAATTTCTTTTTATCATTTGTATTAAATAATATTTTATATTTCAGATTTGTTTTCGTAGTTTTAATATCTCTGGACACGTGCCGTTCGCAAACAGAATTTGAAGAATTTGAAGAGAACTTCGAGACGCGATGAAAAGCAACAGGATTACAATACATATTTAGCTATAAGCAGAGAACTCGAGTTAAGTTCTTTACACTTTTAACTTTTCCCTTTTATCTTATTTTTACTTGGAACTTTGATTGAAATTTCCTTTATGCAGTTTTCTTATTCACTGCGAGTCGCAACGAGGACGCAGCCGGTTAATGAGAGGATCGAATAAAGCAGAACCGAAGCAAAACGATCTACCATGATTTAAGGTAAATTTTAACTATTTCAATACATTGCATTCTATCGCGATAATGTAAACTAACAAACTTTATAATTGCGAAAATTACCCATTTAATCTTTATAATAATCACCGTATTATACACTGGCGTTTATAGGTATACAACGTGATGCACTGATCGATTTTTCCATTTACAATTGTTAAGAATATGCAAGGACCAGTATTGATTCAATCAGGACCAACAATATTGTAACGCAATGTTTCATTTGTAATTTTTTTTGTTGTTAATTTATATTATCGAGCTCTGCTTTTTAACATTGTGCAGTAAGCGTGAAAAGCAATTTCAAGAATTTACTTCATATCTTTGAATAAATCCTTGAAATTTCTTCTGTAAATATATTTATATGTCGGAGATGGAAGGACAGCGGGACTTTCCGTCGGGAATGCTGGGAAAAACCTCCCATCGCCATAGTCAAGATTTTAATGTTTAAGCCATAAGAATAAGGAAAACAACTTTTAATGTTCCAACCTGGCGTTACGACGATGGGTTCAGGTTTAAGGTGACATAACGGGTCACCAGACGTAGCCACGGTCACGGGAGGGCCGCGTACTTGACAGAGGTACGGAATGATTTTATGACTCTCCTTAAAAACAAGGATTGACCCGAGAAGCGGGGACAGGAGTATATAAGGGTAGGTTCATCTAGATTCAGGGAGTTTTTAGTTAGTTAGTCGTTGAGCGAATTGCCGAGTAAGTCACGCTGATACTGTTCATCCCGTGGACTGTGGATTCGTTATCGAACCTGGATTCGTTGTCACCATCACCTCGAACATCCCACTGTCCTTCCATCTCCGACATATAAATATTTAAAAAAGAAATATATATATATGAAATAAATTCTTGAAATTTGTTTTATAAATATATTTATATTAATAAATAAATTAATATATATTATATATATCATATATTATGTATTATGTAATGCATTACAATATGTATTATATAATATGTATTGTATATATATATATATTACATATATTACATATTTTTTTTATTATTGTTTCCTTCTCCATATGCATGGATCCTGCAATTGTATACAGTTTGAAGAAATTGAAGGGTTATTTATAGGATTATGATAAATTATATTGTTTTGATCATTCTTTCATATCCTTGACTTTTATAGTGTGCAAGTTTGATATATATATATATATGAGATGAAAGGACACCGGAGTCTACCCTCTGGAACTTCGGGAAAATCCGTAGAATTGCAATTAAAGTTTACAGCTCTAATTAAACAATTTGCCGTCATTCTACCCAATTGTACTTGTTTGTGATTTGTAATAATAAACTTGGGCTCATGGCGACCATCAGTCGCCGAACGTAGCCGCGGTCAACGGGACGGGCGCTTCGCCTAACAAATGTGTGGAATTATAGTATGATCCTCATTAAAAAAAATACCAATAGAGGTACTTGACAGTAAAACATTCCAACGGTTCCTTCGGACAATGAATATCAAATGTTGAGGTACGTGCACAGCACAAGTCCAGTTAGCCCGAGGACCCGCTATAAAACCTGGGTTTTTCCGGCAATTAAGATTTTCCAAACTTCATCCCGTGGACTGTGGATTCGTTATCGAACCTGGATTCGTTGTCACCATCACCTCGAACATCCCACTGTCCTTCCATCTCCGACATATAAATATTTAAAAAAGAAATATATATATATGAAATAAATTCTTGAAATTTGTTTTATAAATATATTTATATTAATAAATAAATTAATATATATTATATATATCATATATTATGTATTATGTAATGCATTACAATATGTATTATATAATATGTATTGTATATATATATATATTACATATATTACATATTTTTTTTATTATTGTTTCCTTCTCCATATGCATGGATCCTGCAATTGTATACAGTTTGAAGAAATTGAAGGGTTATTTATAGGATTATGATAAATTATATTGTTTTGATCATTCTTTCATATCCTTGACTTTTATAGTGTGCAAGTTTGATATATATATATATATGAGATGAAAGGACACCGGAGTCTACCCTCTGGAACTTCGGGAAAATCCGTAGAATTGCAATTAAAGTTTACAGCTCTAATTAAACAATTTGCCGTCATTCTACCCAATTGTACTTGTTTGTGATTTGTAATAATAAACTTGGGCTCATGGCGACCATCAGTCGCCGAACGTAGCCGCGGTCAACGGGACGGGCGCTTCGCCTAACAAATGTGTGGAATTATAGTATGATCCTCATTAAAAAAAATACCAATAGAGGTACTTGACAGTAAAACATTCCAACGGTTCCTTCGGACAATGAATATCAAATGTTGAGGTACGTGCACAGCACAAGTCCAGTTAGCCCGAGGACCCGCTATAAAACCTGGGTTTTTCCGGCAATTAAGATTTTCCAAACGGACAGACAGTCTTTGTCCCAAACTGGCCAACTGACAGCGACGTCAATTTCCCTTACTTTCGGAACGAGGGCTTTACCCGACGGATCCGAGGATCTCGTGTCCTTAGACACACCCCATCATAGTGGAGGAGATTAACAAAAATGCAAGAAGGCACGGAGAAAGAATAGCAACGCGCCCAAGCCGGCTGGCAGCGGAAACAGTCGACACATCAAGCATAAAAAGAAGATTAAAAAAGAAACACCCAACAGATCTCACAAAGGACATAACCTAACAAATACGTATTATCTGAGATAATTAAAGAAAAAACCCCATCATGGTTTTCCTCTGTGGCATCATTGGGACGAAAATTCATTCTTTCTTGAGAATATAAAATAAATATGAAATATATATATAGAGTAATAACAATAATAATAATATATACAAAAGTATTATTGGAATATATTTTGTTGTATCTTCAGGGAACAATACACAATTTATTTTATTTACTCTTTTATCCATTATCTTTTATATTACTGTCTGGCTCTTAATGGGATAAAATAGCCTTTCATTAAGATGAAATGTTTTTCATATCCCTCCAATTATGATCATTTATATCTCATTATACTAAATAAATGAACTTATTTATTAGCATAAAAGAATCTCCCTCATTTGATTCAAGGACAAAGTAATCTATGAATAAAAGATTATTCAGACAAGAAAATTGTTTCATAATATTCAATGCGTTTTAGTTTTTAACAATTAATTTTATCGTTTCACCATATTATACGATATATAACTACAAAGATAGCAAATAATAAAGTAACACTGTCTTACAAACAAATACCTATGCGTTCATACATATTTGAACGGTTGTGTACATGCCTACATAGATATTAAATTCCGGCCTTATTTAAATAATGATAAGACAAAGATTAATGAGGTATAATCTAGGACCATGAAACTCATTAAACATTCCTCCGCTTTTTCTTATCGCTTTATGCAAAACGCCGCTCTCGGAAGCAAATGCGAGTTAAAGTAAAACCGACGAATAAGAATTCAGGAAAAACCAAATTGGTTACTATAATACATTCATAGGTGCATTAAATACAGCACAACTTCATTCATCCGCACCTCGTTTATCCGAACATGTTAAGACTGGAGCCACTAACTTTTAATCTGCTTCTGAAGAAATGATTAAAGCCAACAAAGTGTAAAAAAATCTAAGGCAGCAGCAGTTTGACGTAATTAAAAAGAACAAAGAGTTACAAGGTCAAGTGCAATATACAGTGCAATCTGTAGTAGTATACGAGTTAATGGAAAGACATAGTAGCTGTTCGAATGAGAAGATTTTCGGATAATAAAATCCATGGCACCCTGTATAATTATTATTTTATATTTCAGAAACAATATATAAGATGAATCACAGAGAATAAATTACATATAATTTAAGTGCAATATTTTTGAAATTATCTGTGGATTCTATATATGTTTTACTGCTAAATGAAATTTTGTTAATACGTTTATCTACGTTGAGTTATATTCTATGGCTCAAACTACCTAATCGTAGGTCTTTTCCTAATGCGTCACTCTGTATAATTATTATTTTATATTTCAGAAACAATATATGAGAAGAATCACAGAGAATAATTTACATATAATTTAAATGCAATATTTTTGAAATTATCTGTGGATTCTATATCTGTTTTACTGCTAAATGAAATTTTGTTAATACGTTTATCTACGTTGAGTTATATTCTATGGCTCAAACTACCTAATCGTAGATCTTTTTCTTAATGCGTCACTCTGTATAATTATTATTTTATATTTTAGAAACAATATATAAGAAGAATCACAGAGAATAATTTACATATAATTTAAGTACAATATTTTTGAAATTATCTGTGGATTCTATATATGTTTTACTGCTAAATGAAATTTTGTTAATACGTTTATCTACGTTGAGTTATACTCTATGGCTCAAACCATCTGATCGTACGTCCTTTTCCTAATGCCTAATAAAAAGGCAAAATAAATTCTCGTCATTACTTTCACCGTGATCTTGTTAATTGATATGGGTTTGGGGTTGATAATTAATCGATTCACACAGATTAGATTTTCTCCATATATTTCTCCTTCTCGTTCAACACGTCTTAACACACAGAATACACTTGGTCAATTAACACGTGGTCGACTTCTAAGACAAAAGAGCGTCGTTAGAAGTCGTACCAACTTAGCTTGTAGTAACTAGCGATCATACCAACCTAGCGTTTCTCAACAGATCTTTCAGCATGAGAAATTAGAAGGTTGATGATAATATTTATCCAAATTCCAACATTGTTTACATTACTAGTGTACAATACACATCTGGATGTTGGCATTCATTTATTGCCATGACTATTACCATTATTATATTACGGAGCATAGATATTTATTTTTTATATCTATTAAAAATTGTCTACTTCTCGTTCTTCGTGTCCTTAATTACAGATCTTCCGACGGTGTAAATTTTCCAACCAATTTGCACGAAATTTCCACGCCTTTTCCTAACTTTTCAGACATCTTTTCTTCACTTTCAACGCTCGATGCAACATGTCTCATACTTCGCGCCACTGTACCCAAGACGTTAACGTGTATCAACACTGTTCTAACTAAGGTAACACAGGAAAGTAGCATGAAATTACAGAAAGGATATAGAATAACAAAGGACACAATTTGTAGAATTAATGTAAAATGTAGAATTAAGAGTGCACTCACTGGAGGCTACACTCGACTGACTTGACAGAACGCGACTGAACAGAATAATGCAGAAAAATGGAATCTCGGCGCGACTAAGAAAAGGAATAAAAGGAATAAAATGTACAGGGCAAAGAAGAAGTAAAATAAGGACAGGCGGGGAAGGAAGAAACAAGGCAGGATTACCCGTTAAGACCCTCGCTATTTGCTCTGTACACAGCAGACTTGGTACAGGATCATGCAAGGATGCGGAAAGAAGGGATGATAATGGGTAGGTTAAAGTGCATGTGCTGGCATATGCAGACGATATTGTGCTGCTAGTGGGGACAGAAAAAGAATTGAAAAGTACGACGATTGAAAAGAAATTGGAGAGCTGGCTGAAAGAGAAGAAGTTGCAACTGAACAGAGAGAAATCTGATTGCAGGCAGGGGAAGGAGGTCAAAGAGGGAGGCAGTATAAAGCTGAGTATAAAAGAAATAAAAGAGTACAAATACTTATTATGCTGAAGACTGGAAGAGCAGTCGAGCAGGGAAGCAATGGCGAAAGTGTTGGCAACTGGGAAAAAGGAATCTGATAAACATTTTAAAACAAGGATGATGATGTACTGATCAGTAATGCGAAGCATTGGAATAATGAGGATGAACAGAGCAAGAAAAAATAGGATAAAATAAAGGTAAGTATGTGAAATGGATATTGGAACTAGACAAATGGACACCAACGTACATAGTAAAAGACCACAAAATTGAACAAAAACGGAATAGAGGCAACGAGCAGAGCACGTAAATATGGAGAAGAAATAGAGAAATAGAGAAGAAATTGCTGGAAGGTTGTACGAAGGAAATGAGAAAAGGGAAGAACAAAAAGTTAAAATGGTAGGAAGAGAGGAAAATTCTTTCAGAGAGACGGTACGACCACAGAAGACAGAGAGAAGAAAGAGGAAAGGACATAGCACCATAAAGCGGAGAAACAGATAGAGGCAGAAAGAGATTGCAAAGGTAAGGACGATATGAAAGAATCAAATGTTCCAAATATAACGAAGAGTACAGAAAGATGAGAACAGTGACAATTCCAGAATACTTAACTAATAACGAAGTTCGAATGTGGAAGAGAAGGGTTGAGCAAGAAATTTTGGTCGAAGGAGGAAGAAAGAAAGTGCAGGCTGTGTGAGGAGAAAAGGGAAACGTGAGATCATTTGAGAAATAGATGCAGGGAGATGAGGACAAAGAGAGAAGGAGCAGAGTAAATATTAGAGGAGGCGTTTCACGAGAAGACTAGATGAGAAGATAAAGAGGAGAATAAAGGGGAAGGAGTCGTCTTAAGGTAGCGTCCCAAAATTTATTACGCTCAAAATGGGAATAGCCTCTTACATTTGGGATTTGTTTAATATAGAAAATAGCGAGTCGGTATATGCAACGAATTCTTTCAACCTTATATTTTCTGAACGATGACGATGGGATTGTGAATATGCATGGTTTTAATTGGAAACGTGGAAAAGGATGTAACAAAATATAAATTTGCACCGACATGTCAGATATTGCTTTCCTCTCTTCTCCGGAAGACAATAACTTCGTCGATACTTTTGGTCTGAAAAGCTGTTTCCTGAACAACCCATTATAAATGGTTATTACAAAACGTTTATAGCTGCACGAGATTAATGATACCCGGCCATTAGTTATCATGATGGGTAGGACTTTAATATACGAAATTTTATTAACGAAGATAAATAATATGCAGTAAGTGGCGTGACCGGATTAAATGAAAATGTATTTTATGGTAGAGATGAGTTTCAACGGTACGTTTTTTTAAGTAAGACAGATATGCCTGGCCCGAAAATTTATTTCCCGCTATTATAATTGTACATGAAAGCTTAACAAGTTAAACATGGGTAAACTATCGAGTTATTTTGCAAACAATGTATCGAGCTGTCGTACAGGTTGAATTCCAAAATCCACTCAGGACCTGTTATGTCGATTACCACAATTTCGGAAATTGAATAGAAAATCCTAGCGTTAAGTCCAAAATCTCCGCTGGATCGTATGCATAATACTCGCTTGATGTACCGTGCAAAGATCAGCGTAATACACGTGCACATCATTCATTTCATCTCATCACTTCATAAACACTACATCATCGTTGCATTATGATAACATATACATATATATACAGGATGTCCAATTTTAATCTACAAATGCAAATTACTGAAAGTGAGTGATTTCCAGACTGTCATAATATGATGTACTTAGGTTTTCTGTGTAAATGAATGCATAAAGGTCACACGAAGGTGATATACGTTTCATTCCAATGGAATCATGTAATCATCATTGATCGATTTGTTTTACACCTTCTATAACAAATTAGGGTAAACTTTTTCTCTGAACACCCATTTTTCAGCCTAAATGGGATAACAAATTATTGATTTCTTTTCTTTTTTTTTTTTTTTTTGGAAAATCATATAGTTTTCAAGATGTAGAATTCGGAAATACAAGTTCTAAGGCGAGAAATCTGTAATGTATGAAAAAGCGCGGCTTTTTAACGGACACGAAAAGCAAACTGTGTGAGGAAGAACCGTGATGAGTGGACGTGAGCTCGATAATTTAAACAGGAAAATTGAGTGGCGAAAAATCAACGTGGAGGACAAGAACGTTCTCATTCTGTGCATGCTTGACATGCTACGAATATCTCAGACAGAGACACTCCACTCATCTCTGTCTGTTTCGCAAGAATGCGAACTTTGTTGTTCTCCATGTTGATTTCTCACAACTGGTCCCAATTCAATCTTCGAACGGTATTCCCTAGCGAGTGTCAAGACCTGTTTACATAAACGTGGACGTGAGCGTACACGAAATTAGGGTGGCTAGACATTCTACAGCGAATGGTCGTAATCCTCAGGCGTACCATTATTATAATATTGTAACGAACCTCGTCGTATTATTGAATGTTGTGTATTGCTGCCAATACGACAGAATTTGCTGCTTCAAAAGCTATGCAAAACTAAGTATTTTTAGGTTATGTGTATCTACGCGATATTGTTTCTATCACTTGATTGTCTGCACAAAGATTAGGCATCATTCGAATAGCATTTCGAATAAATTATACTTGGAATAAAAACTGCGGATAAATGAAGTTGCTCGAGAATAAAAGCAAGTTTTTATTGAAACCTTGTTCAAATAAAACTTATTCGAATGAAGATTTATTCGAATACTATACGTAGAGAGTAGAAAGCTGTAGTAATGCGAGAAAATCATCGCCAGAGTGTTAACTTAAAGACAAAGATCAATAAGATACAAAATTATTCGTTCGTGGTGCTGAACTTATTACATCGTGCTTAAATCGTACATACGATAACTATCATCTGCAATCATGTACTCTATTATCATGATGGAAACAAAAAAGAAAAAAAAGAAGGAACGTGAGTAAACGAGAAATTGATCTTCGCATTACCAGAAACGTACTTACTCGTCATACATCCCCAATAATATTCATACAACTGTTTCTCGTGCCAGCACTAAATATGGAAATTTACATACATGTAATAACTTTATGTACTTTAACGTTACCGAATAGCTACACCTAATATCTTACACATAACAGTAGAATCCTGTATACTAACAAGTTGCAAAAGCTCATTAAAATCGAAGTCGACAAATTGGAGTCCTTTTCGCTTGTTAGTGGAAAGTTATGTAGGTAGTTTGTACAAGCATAACTGGTCACCTCACGACGACCTCAGAGTAAGGGATTGTGGAGGTTTGAATAAGAGCGAGAGAAAAGAGCGTGTAGGGAGCAAGACGAAAAGAGACCTGCCAGAGGACTCGTTAGTGAGACTATCTAGCAGTCCCTGTCCTAGACATTAGGATAGGGTAAGATATTTTGGAAGCTACATTCGTAGCAAGCACTGAGAGTTCGGGTACTGGCGAAAAGCTCTTTCGTGTCGTCGTAACGGACACTCTCTGGTAGATGAGCGAGAAGTGTCCCCACTTTAAGGATAACCTAAATTTAACCCTCGCGATGCGAAATCCAGTAGCAATGAAGAGATACCTAAATTTGAGATTGATATCGTTGAACTTTATTCGAAAAGTATCTACTTTCAGTAAATGTAGGTCTCCACCCAGACAATTGGGTGGCCAGAGGAAAAGTTCACATAAAAGTAACCTATTCATGTCGAAAAATCATTGGTTTAGCAGATATTTCGGTAAGTGGACATGGACTCCAATTTTGTTGAGTTTCGTATGTTTTGTAGGGGATCGTGATCCAAAAGTTTTGACAAAAAGAAGATGGTACTTGTTAAGTTACATTTACTGCAATATTAACAGTTGAAGATGAAATTGCATATGTAAGTTAGGTTAGATTAGGTCAGATTCTATGGCTGACTCTCCAAAGGATCTAACCTAACTTAACTTTACAACCACGATGGTTTCACACCCCCAACAAACTGCATGTTACTCAGAACTTTCTCGTCTACAACGTATGTGAAGATCAAGGTCATTGGAGTTGAGGCATCTTTCGTGCATAATTACCGATAGCTTCATTTTGTAGAACC